CCCAGGCACTCTCACAGCTCACAACTGCAGCTTACTATGATGTCTGATGCAATGTGACTAGGTTCTCTATCTTAGCAGTAGACTTGTCACGCTTTTTTTTTTTTTTTTTACTAATTAAATGTGAATCTCAGATTTAAAGGGGCATGTTACTGCTCAAATAAAAAATCATTGTTTACAAAAATCATTGTTTAACAAGACTATGCCACATGTGATATATGCTAATCAAGTCGTTCTCTTAAGGTTCAGTCATTTTTCTCATAAAATTAAATGGCCTGTTTTTCAGCACCTAGCTTCCCTGCCTAGGATTTGCTGCACTTACATTTTTCCATTATACATACACTTCAAAAGTGTATCCTAATATAATACCTGAGTGGTCTGTGAGCCAGTTTTTAGCTGTATGGACCCTTCTACCCCTCAGGGTGGCTATCTGGCCCCACATATAGCCCTGTTATTACGGGGGGGTGACCTTCCCCCTCCCCCGTCCATATTTCTGGGGCTCTACCCGCTCCTGGACCATAATAATGGACGTGTGACACCATTGTGGGCTGGGTGACCCCCCTCCCTCTGGCAACATGGCTACCAATGAGCACCCTGCTGGCTCTACGGCGTCCTGTAGGATTAATGCTGAGGGTGACCCCCTCCTGCTTCCTACACTAATGCCCCTACAGGGGACACTCCACCGGCCATCCTAGACGCTACACCAAGCACCCCTGGTACTCATTGGCTAACGGATAGATTCATCAAGAGGATCAGTCTTTATGACGGAGTCCGGAAAGGACACCGCAAACACCTGACACAGGGTTTGCACTCTATCCGGGAATAACCACTGGATGTCGATGAGACGCGGACACAGATGTTTCCTCGGGACGAATGGCGTGTTACAGCTTGGAAAGCAGAGAAGACTAAATTCCCATTGGGAATGGACCGATATGACTTATAGGTATCGCCTAGTTGGTTTCTACCCTTGAGAACCGCAAAACGGCCCCTGTCCAAGCTGGACATCAAACTGACGGATTTGGCATCCAAGTGCTGGGTCTGCTCTTCGGAGTTACCCTTATGTACAAATTGAGCTGACACGTCTCTATTCATAGGGTTCCCCCTTAACTAGCCCCAGAGGTCTCTCGGACCGTGCCCGGACTCAGGATCAAGGTTGCGTAACCTTGGCCCGTTCCATGAGCGATACGCATGACCAAAAGAGGCGTCCATTCCTACTCATTCCGAAGTTGCCCTGCTGGGCGAAGGGTGCAGTGGAGTGGACTCCCGCCCCAACCCCACGCTACATGCTCCCAGTGCATATGTCACTCATCTCCTCAGAGAGCTGCTCTGCATGGACGATTGGTTCTCTCCCTCAACTGGACATGAGAGAAACCTGCATGGGTTTCGCCATCAACATAGACATATTGAGTCTGACTCACTCCCAGTGAACCCAGTTTTTGGTCTTTCATGGAATATTCGGTCCAACCGGTGCTCCGCCTCTCGAGGACCAAGATGTCAGTTTCAAGGAAAATACCAGTCATATGGTCCGCAACCCGCGGGTCACACTTAGGGGCCCAACCCGGTCGATTGACCGGTTGTTATTCGCCATGGAGGCCATACCTCCAGGATCCGGTACGATCAGCCACTCCAACATGATGCTTTCTCGGGTCTTCGGCCTGGTACGGCTGAATCATGTGACCTTCGGACGAAGCTCATCTAAAACTTAATTGATGACTCCGACATAGGGGGACCTGGCCTACCTAGGAGTTTCGGACCCCAACCAACTTCGGCCTGGAGTCCGGAGGATGGACCTCTTCACGCCAACTGCATGTAACTACCTGCAGGTTTGTTCACCATTTGCAGCTTCCCCAGGGGAAGTAGTATTGCTCGCTACCTTCCGCCATGGACTTTTCACCGGTTGCCCACTACGGACTGTGGTCGGATCTCACGTAGGATCACTATCTATAGCTTCTGGACAAGTATTCGTCATTTGTGACAGTGTCTGCGGAACGAGACACTCATGTGGCAGACGGCTTCACCCGACCATGGAGAGACCCCAATGATTGGTTGCCTCACCATCCAAGGTTTTGAGTACTGGCATGATTACATTCGGTGCTGGACCCTCAGCGAGGCGAGGGACGCGTTTTCAAAGCTTGGTCTCCTTCGGGCATACGCATCCTGTTTACCTAGAGGATACTTTGGGCTTTGCTTCAGACCGAATTCATTTCTCCTAGCCACACCACTTCGGAGGAGTCCTGCGTGCTTCCCCTTTTTGCTAGAGTTTGCCATGGGAAGGCAATTTACGACTCCGTCTCTTAATGTCCCGTGTGGGATCTACAGGGGTAGCCTGCCACGACTGGTGTTTGGGTACCTATGTCAGTCCTTATCATGGCTGTCCCCATTGTAGGATCGTATGGGGCCATTCACGTCCTATGTCCGCTAGTGGACGACTCATGTGCGTTTTCTCAAGTTTCTGGCATTGCTAAGGATCTCTTGGTCTGCAGTCTACCAAGAGGAGTATACCGTACGGGAACCCTATCTCTCGCTATTCTCAATTCTAGTGGTATCGTGTGTTCTGCATTTCCTTGAGGAATGACCTGATGACAAGGACTTGCCTTGCGCCAGTTTTTTCCTCTTACAGTTTTCCCCAGTACATCATCTATTTCATCGCGTTCTGACGTCATGGTATCGACGTAGTGTCTTCTTCCTTCTTGCCGTTCCGTACATCGGCTTCGGCTCCACACATTTCATTTCTGTTCGTCCTCTGTGTCTCCGGATTCTCCGGATAGGCCTGGCTCTGACAGGTTGTACACGACCATGTAGATCCAGGATCTGTTTCTTTCGTCCGTCTACTCATGGACAGCTGTTGATTTCTGCTTACGGCCATTTTGGACTGTTTCTGCATCTTCGCTCGCCCGTTGGATTTGGTGGATCCTCTCATTGACTGACCTTGAGAGTTCCTCTGGGACACTTTTGGTTCGGGGTGCTGTCACCTCAACAACTTTTGGAAGTCGTTGGGTCCCTTCTGCATTTTCTTTACACCGCTGCTTGGTTTAGGGAATTTGTTTTTCCATTCTCCTTTTATTTCAGTCCTCTATCTCATATTGCTATTAAAATTGCAAATATGAAGCCTCCTGTCCTGCCATAAAATTGGGGATTATTCTAGCCTTGGTGAGGGAATAATCTAAATTTTATTAAAGACAGGAGGCGAATATTCCCCCCTTTTTTTTTACGTTCCCTCCCTGGATTCGGGTCTTATTCTATTATAAATAATTGGGGATATTGTTATGTTTGCATACATGGTTTTACATAATAAAAGTTATTTCTATTATTCCGTGATTGTCCGTGTGCGTTTTATTCATTATGTTTGAGTTTTAATTATGTTTCGTCAATGCCTTTTTTAGTTTAGGTACATACTAGGTGTTCATGAGATCTGTAGACTTTGTTTATTCATCAGGTATTATGATGTGCAAGTGATATTGTATGGATATGACATCTTGCCTTGACAGTTTACTTTACACTGCAAGAAAAAAAAAACATTGTTAATCTGTTTTCTCTCTGGATTGTTTCTCTGTATGTGTCTACGAGGTGGATTTGTTGGTTTTCTTGCCCTCCTGCTCGACCTCATCAAGGAAAGAGGAAGTGGAAGAGCCTGCTTAGGGGTTTTATACTACTGTAGCTCTGTTCTGACTGGTTGTATTGAAAAGTTCTGTTAACTGTTTCTTTGCTGCTGGAGGTTTCAGTAAAGAAGGTAAAGCAAATATTCGCCTCCTGTCTTTAATAAAATTTAGATTATTCCCTCACCAAGGCTAGAATAATTCCTAATTATTAACATTCCTGTTTACATAAGAAGAACAAAAGTCTATCTATTTTTTTGGAGCATTTTTCAGTTAATCATACTTGTGACTTTTTTAACTCCTGACAAAAAAAATTTATCACATGTATCATGAGCAAGCATACTATATAAATCAAAATCACCAAAGGGTGACAATAAGGGACACTATAGGCACCCAGACCACTTCAGCTCATTGAAGTGTTCTAGGTGCAGTGTCCCAGTGCCCCTTAGTCCTGCAATGTAAATCATTGCAGTTTTCAAGAAACTGCAATGATTACATTGCAGGACTAAGACTGCCTCTAGTGGCTGTCAATCTGACAGCCATTAGAGGTACGTTCTGGTGGCTTGGTGACTTTGGTTGCATGAGGACATGCACCGCCAGTAAAATCCCTATAGGAAAGTATTGTAGCAATGGGGAGGGCCTAATGCGCTTGCTGCGTTTGCCACGCATGCGCATTAGCGTCCCTCCATCAGGTGACAGAGAGGTTGGTGCACCAATCCAGCGCCAAGGGACATCTGTGCTAAAATCCGGTAAGTACACTAAGGGAATTTTAAACATTACTATGCCTGGGGGTGCACGAGGGATGATGGTGGGGTTTGGTGGGGAGCTATTGTGCTAGGAATATAACTTTCTTTTCCTGGCACTATACTATGTCTTTAACTGTGTGGCTAGCCAGCCACAAAATTAAAAAAAGTAAAAAAAAAAAAAAAAAAATGCGATAAATTACTGTCTTTCCTAACTTTCTTTCTCCCACAATTCTTTGCACATCTGAAGGGTGGGGCAGGGACTCTGTCTTTAGCCTTCCCCATCTATGTAATGCAAATAACTTAATATGAATAAAGCATACAAATATGGCCCCTCTTCAAAGTTGATATGTGAGCAAAATGTCTGAAATAACATGCCATGTAATCCTTATCCAAATGATGTAATGCTGGTCTGAAAAGCGAATTAGGATACAGAGATTGTGTGAATCTGACTAGAATGGACATTGAAATAAAACAGAAACAGCTTGGAGCCGTTATAGCACCATAAATTTATTATTATGATATTTATAGAGCGCCGTCAAATTCCGCAGCGCTTTACAATGGGTGGACGAACAGACATGTAGTTGTAACCAGACAAGTTGGACACACAGGAACAGAGGGGTTGAGGGCCCTGCTCAATGAGCTTACATGCTAGAGGGAGTGGGGTAAAATGACACAAAAAGTTAAGGATAGTATTAGACTAGTGACAGTTGCAGAAGAGGAATCAGTCAGGAGCTATTAACAGTTTAATTGATACGCTTTTATGAAGAAGTGGGTTTTTAATGATTTTTTGAAGGAGTGGAGACTGGGTGAGCATCTAACGGAGGAGGGAAGCGAGTTCCACAGGAACGGTGCAGCCCTCGAGAAATCTTGAAGGCGAGCATCAGAGGTGGGAGTACGGACAGAAGATAGACGTAAGTCTTCAGCAGATCGTAAGGGCCTAGACGGGACATACTTGTGTATAAGGGAGGATAGATAGGTGGGAGCAGCATTATGTAGCGATTTGAAAGCAAGAACCAGAATTTTAAATTGAGCTCTATATTTTATAGGAAGTCAGTGTAGGGATTGACAGAAGGGTGAGGCATGGGAGGTGCTGGCGGACAGGAAGATGAGCCTTGCCGCCGCATTCATTATGGACTGTAACGGCGCTAGTTGGGAGCACGTAAGACCACTGAGAAGCGGATTACAGTAGTCAAGGCGAGAAAGGACAGTGGAATGGACCAACACCTTAGTCGCATCTGGTGTTAAGTAGGGGCGGATGCGCGCAATGTTTTTTAGATGAAAATGACAGGATTTGGTTATAGATTGAACATGAGGTCGGAGTCAAAGGAGAACACCTAGGAAGCGAGCCTGCGTGGTGGAGCTGATCTTAGCACCGTTGACTTGGAGGGAGACAGACACAGGAGTAACAACACTTGAGGGAGGAAAGACCAGAATTTCAGTTTTGGTCAAGTTTAGTTTAAGGAAGTGGGCAGCCATCCAGTTAGAAATGGCAGAGAGGCAGTCAGAGACACTAGTCAAGAGGGATGGGGAGAGATCAGGAGAGGACAGGTAGATTTGCGTGTCATCTGCATAGAAATGATATTGGAAGCCAAAGGAACTAATGAGTTTACCAAGGGAGGCAGTATAGATGGAGAACAGTAGGGGACCAAGGACTGAACCTTGGAGGACACAAACAGAGAGGAGTTGGGGAGAAGAAGCACAGTCAGAGAAAGAAACACTGAAAGAGCGCTGGGAGAGGTAGGAGGAGCACCAGGAGAGAGCAGTATCTTGTAGACCGATATTGCGGAGGATCAGAAGAAGCTGTTGATGATCAACAGTGTCAAAAGCCACAGACCGGTCAAGGAGAATTAGGATAAAGTAGTGACCACAAGATTTTGCAGCAAGTAGATCATTGGATACTTTGGTCAGTGCTGTTTCCACAGAGTGCTTCCACAGACTGAAGCGGGTCTAGCAGAGAGTTGGACTCGAGGAAGTCTGTCAATCTTGCATACACAATTTTTTTTTTTTTCAAGGATCTTGGATGCAAAAGGCAGTAGCGAGATAGGACGATAGTTGGATGGGGAGTTAGGGTCAAGATTGGGCTTCTTTAGAATTGGGGTTACAGTTGCATGTTTGAAGGGCAATGGAAATATACCAGAGGAGAGGAAAGAGAGGATTTTAGTGAGACGTGGAGAAAGAGAAGAAGACAGAGTACGGATGAGATGCGACGGAATTGGACCTAGGGAACAGGTGGTGGGGCGGGAGGACTGGAGCAGAGCAGAGGGAAGCCTGCGGCGTTTAAATGTACAAGGGACAATGATGTCTAGTTGAGAGGAGAGGGTGGAATTGTAGAAGGAGGTTGCAGAACTAGGACAGGTGAGGTTTGAGATGGTTAAAAGGAGAGTTTGGAGATTAGTGGAGAAATGCTCTAGGTCAAGACATTGGAGGTTTCTGTGAGAGTGATGTTCAGACGGTGGTGTCAATTGGGTCTTGGGTATCCCAATGTCAAAAGTCAGCAGATGGTGGTCAGATAGAGGAAAGGGAATATTGGAGAGATTAGAGGCAGTAAAGAGGTTGGTAAAGGCAAGATCAAGAGTGTTTCCCGCTGTATGGGTTGATTGGACCATTGCGTAAGGACAAAGGAGGAGGTTACAGAGAGCAGACGTGAGGCATCAGTGCAATTGGGGTTATTGATTGGGATATTGAAATCCCCAAGTATAAGGGAAGGAGTGCTAGATGAGAGGAAATGGGGAAGCCAGGAAGAAAAGTGCTCAATGAATAGTCTAGGATAACCGGGGGGGCGGTAGATGATAGCAATTCTTAAAGGAGTGGGTTTAAATAGGCGGACAGTGTGAACTTCAAAAGAAGAAAAGGATATGGCAGGAGGAGTTATAATTGGTTGAAAGGTACATTGAGGGGAGAGAAGGATGCCTACGCCGCCTCCTTTACAGTTGAGTCTGGGAGTGTGAGAAAATTGTAGCCCACCAAAACATAAAGAGGCAGGAGTAGCGCTATCAGAGGGGGACAGCCAGGTCTCTGTAAGTGCAAGCAATGTGAGTGATTTTGAGATGAAAAAGTCGTGTATGGTTGTTGATTTTAAATTACTGCAGATGGAGCGGGCATTCCAGAGTGCACAATTAATTTTAGTAAGTGCGGGTAAAGGGCAGGGTATTTTGATGAGGTTTGTGGGGTTTCTGGTTGTCTTAGTGTGTGTAGAGAAGGTGAAGGGCCCTGGATTGAGAGAGACACAGGGCCGGCGCTTCCTATAAGGCGAACTAGGCAGCCGCCTAGGGCGCAATATAGGAGGGGGTGCCCTGCGCCCCCATCGCCGGCCCTATAAATTCTGCAGCTGTCTGAGCGCTCTATAAAGAGCGTTCAGACAGCTGCCGCACTGCCTCACCTCCCTTTCCCTGTAGCATGGCCGAGCTCCTTTCCGGTCCGCGACCCAGCCGGACTGACAGGAAATGCACACTGAGTGTGCACTTCCTGTCAGTCCCGCCGGGTCACGGACCGGATAGGAGCTCGGCCACGCTACAGTGCCGGGGAGGTGAGGAGATGATG